TCTCGATAAAGACGAACAAAAAACTGTTTACGCGGAAGGGCCCACCCTATCTGCAGAGGGAAAAAAAAAACAGAAAAGAAAAAAAAAACAGGCCAACTTACCTGTCGCCATTAAAACTCCGATTATAATCGTCCAAAACATTTTAAACATCTTTCCTTTGGGTCAGTGTCGACTTAATTGTTAACTATTTGTCAAATAACCTTACAAAAAATAAAAAATAAATGCATATAAYGAACGAAGCAGTGTTTTGTCTCAGCCAGGTAGCGCCAGCTCCATTTTGTCTAGATCGCAGGCCAGAGGAGTACCTGAACGCCTCACGTCACGTCACAAACAGGTAAGTTTTCACCAACAAGCTGCGAAACACGGGGGGTTTTGAATAGCTTAACTTGTTTTTTTAACGTCRTAGGTGGATTGATTGTATCATCAGGGCCTGGTTTTGGCAAAAAATCAAAACGGTTTTAAAAGAGGTTTCTGCCCACGTTATTGCAAAGTGGAAATTAAAAATATATATTTTCGAGCGTTTGTCTTGCCAACTAGTTGGTATGATCCRGCTCTGATATCTCTGTTAATGTTAAACTCGGAAGTCTCTGTGAAACTCGGTCAGAACATAAAAAAAGTTCTCAAAACATGATAGGCCTACATCCAGGTCATTGTGAGCACTGTGGACAAGAAGAAACCATAGAACACGTCATTTTAGTTTGTCATAAATATGAACAACAGAGAAGATGGTTGATAGAGGAATTTTGAAAAACAAAATTAATATAGCTGATAAATATATTACAAAAAGAAACAAGAAGTAAAAGTGTATGGGTTATTTTAAGTATTTTTTTTTTGAAAAACACAGTTATAAAAAAGAACAAATATCACATAAAAATATTTTTGATCCACACTCCATTTTCACCTTCTGTTCTTTGCCAACCACCATTACCACACAAGAAAAAAAAAATCAGTCAAAGCTTTTCTGAAGTGCTGTRGGACTTAATGTATTTACATTATTTCCTGCTTTAAAAGTATATCTTTAGACTTTTTTCATTTTATTTTTTTAGTATTATTTTTAGTATTGTTTCATGTCTTTGCAGTTGTGGGCCCTACCTGGTTCAGCTATTCAAGGA